AGTTGTGCAGGGAGGGATGAGGAAGCGAAGTAAAGCGAGGACAGGCCTGGGCCAGAAGGTGCCCTGTCAGGGCCACCACACTCCTGGGCCTGCTTCCTCCTCTAGGTGCTGTGAGCACATGGAGGCACAAGGTCCTGATGAGGCAGAGCTGACGGTGCCAGTCACTTCCCACAAATCCCACTCAGAGCACCGGTGTGAATGCTGGGACTGCACTTCTACACCTGAGCCTTAGGTGGCTATTCTGGGCCCAACATCTTATGTGCAAAATGAACACCACACTGGACTGGAATGTCAGCTGGGACCAACGCTGCCTATTGATCAGATGTGATTATTTAACTACTTCTTCTTCTCCTTCTCCTTCTTTTTTTGAGGCTGTCCTCAGACTCTCAGCAATCCTCCTGCCTCAGCCTCCCGAGGCCTGGGATTACAGGTGAGCACCAACACGCCAGGCTTGTTATTTGGCTTGTGATTTAGGAATGTGAAGCAGTGAGTCGGACTGGGGCACTGTGAGCTCACAGGTGACCTCAGCTGTACAGTGAGGGCCTGGGGTTCCCCTCCTCGCTGGCTAAAGGGCTTCCCGATGTGGACGTCGCTGGTCCCCAGGAAGGGACAAGGACAAAGCCAATACAGAGCTTGAAGCAGGCAGCCTCCCCACTGCCGCTTGGAGCACACATGCTAAACTGAAATAATAAACGAGAATTCGTCCCTCGGGTCTGATGTGTGAGGCTTCTGGCTGGTAACATAACGGGTCCTATGCTTAGGTTTTCAACTGGCTCTGTCACCCCTGCTAAAAATAAGCCGCTGGAGGAGAGGAGCTGAGTCATTTTCATACATGGTTACATGGGGACCACAGTGAGGAAAGCCTGGCCTTGTTTTAAAGTAGCCTTTCTGCCAGGCGTGGCGGCGCGGGCCTGTCATCCCAGCAAGTGGGAGGCTGAGGCACAGGATCACCACGAGTTCCAGGCCACCCTGGGCGGCCATGTAGCGAGACTGTCTCAAACAAACAACAACAAAAAGGCAGTCTCTGTAATGCTTTTGGGGATTCTTTCTTACTTCCTGGACTCTCTGTTTTCTACTCCCCACCCTTGGGGCTATCATCCTCATTCCGTTTCCATTTCACAGCCTCTCCCTCTTTAGACCTGCCTCCTTGTAATGGAAGAACAGTTGGGGGAAGAAAACACTTAAATTCTTTTTTTTTTTTTTTTGTACCGGAGATCGAACTCGAGTCCTTGCACTTGGCAGCAAGCAGCGAAACCACTGAGCTAAATCCCCGGCCTTAAATTCTTTTTTTGAGGGGGAGGGGAATTTTTTTTTCCCGTTGTTCCAGTACCAGGGATCGAACTCAGGACCCTGTGCTTTCGAGGCAGGCACAGCATCACTGAGCTAAATCCCCGGCACCGTTTTGTGTTTTTGAGATGCAGTCTCCCTATATCACCCAGCCTGGCCTCAAACTCCTGGTCTCTGAGATCGTCCCACATCAGCCTCCCAAGTGGCGGGGACTACAGGCACAGCTGCCACACCGGGACGCCTACGTTCTTTCTGACCCTAGCCCCTCCCCATCTGCCTTCCTGAGAAAGTGACCGAAATTCTATTATTAGCTCAGGTTTCTGTTCCTTACCCAATAAAATTCCTATCCCTTTAGGGAGACTGATTTCAAATAGCTATTTGTAGAAAACAGTGGGCTAAACAAAATACAAAGGTAAATAGTGGGTCACGTGTTTCATAATTTTTCCTAGGAGTATTATAAACCAGCAATACTGACTACATTCGTACATTAGTGACTTTGAATGGCTTGTCCAGCCACTGTCTTTCTTTTGAGAGCCAGTTCAGAAGTATCTCAAATCAAGTGTCCAAGAAGCTGGGTGTGGGGTGCACACCTATAATCCCAACACATGGGAGGCTGAGGCAGGAGGATCGCCTTGAGTTCAAGGCCGGCCTAAAGACATAAAGAGACCCTGTCTCGAAAAGCCAAAGAATAAACAAACAATCCTCCTCCAAAGAAAACTGGTCCAAGAGAAATTCATTATTTTATATAAAAGAGCTGCTTTCCTTCCTGAATTAGCTACGTTAAGTAGTGGTTCCACCATTTACTCATTGACCGAAGCCAGGAATTTGTGAGTTCCTCTCAGTCAACTTCTAAAAATAGCAAATGGGAAAGCCCTGGGCCCAATTCCAGTACAGCAAAAAGAAAAGAAAAAAAATTAACTGGGATATTGACGTTCGGATGGAGGAAGAACGTTGGGATGGAGGAAGAATGTATGGGATTTCGGCCTTATTTTTCTGGCTAGAAGATCGGTAGCATGAGGTGGGTGTGGCAAGGAGAACAGGAATGAGGAAAATAAAACTGTTACAGATATGTAACAATCACAGGCTTTGTCCAACCGAGAGAGAGGAAGCATGCTGGACAACGAAAATAATGCTGAGGGCTGGGGATTTAGCTCAATGGTTCCACCACCTGCTTCCAAAGTGCAAGGTCCTGAGTTCGATCCCCGGTACAAAAAAAAAAAAAAAAAGAAAGAAAGAGAGAAAGCAAGCAAGCAGAGAGCCAGGTGTGGTGGCACATACCAGTAATTCCCATACTCTAGAGGGGCTGGGGCAGAAGAACTGCGAATTCCAGCCCAGCAATTCAGCAAGAATTTGCCTCACAATAAAAAATACAATATTAGCTACAGATGGTGGCAGATACCTATAATCCCAGCACCCAGGAGGCAGAGGCAGGAGTATCGCCTTGAGTTTGAGGCCAAACCGAACTACATAGTGACTCACTGTCTCAAAAAACAAAAACCAAACAAAACCAAATTGAGAACCCTACCATCTTATTGAGGCCTCCACCCCACACAAACTCAGAAAACATGCACCTTCTTGCCCGGAGGTGGGGTGTGGCTTTCCGGGTGTGGAATGGGAACCCAGAGGTGGGTGGGCAGTGGTGGCTTGGGCAGGGAAGGCCACCTGGAGGAACCCCTCACACCCACACCCCAGCTGCCTCTCATGCAGTGGCAGAGGGAGCCTTGCTGGGAGAAGGATTCTCACTTCCCGTAGCCCAAGACTTCAACTTTTTTTAAATTTCCCTTTTTAGGGCCGGGGATTTAGCTCAGCGGTTCCACCCCCTGCCTCCCAAGCGCAGAGTCCTGAGTTTGAGCCCTGGTACCAAAATAAAAAATAAATTTCCCTTTTTTATTTTGGTGTTGGGGGTGCAATACAGGGCCCCATGGCTGTTGCAAACTTCAACTTTGTGGGCCAGCTGGACATTCAGAGACCAGGAGAGCAAGGAAATAGAGACAGAAGCATGCTGGTCAGGACTTGGAGCTAAAGGCCTCACGCATCCTATCCACTGTGATCAGGTGGTGGAAGCCATGCTGCTCCCCATATTCTCGAGGAGGAAGAGCACCAGAGGGGCTTGGAAAGGCTCGGGCTTATTATTGTGCGTTGTTGGGATCAAATCCAGGGCCTCACTTATACTTAGCAGATTTTTTTGTTGGTTTGTTTTTCCAGACGGGGGTCTCACTATGTAGTTCAGGCTAGCCTTGAACTATGTAGCCCAGGCTGGTTTTGAATTTGCTGAGATCCTCCTGGTTCAGCCTCTTGAGTGCTGGGATTAGAGGTGTGGGCCACCACACCTGGCTCTCAGCATTATCTAAAAGAGGCTCCTCATGATCTAAAGGGGGTGTTTCAATCATCACTTTGCACCCAGTTTTCCTTTGAACTATGTGTATTTGCTCAGAAATTAGGTTACCTTTATTTATTTTTTGGAGACAGGGTCTCACTATGTACTTCAGGCTGGCCTTGAACCCACAGTTATCCTCCTGCCTCAGCTTCCTACCACCTTAGGTTTAGACTAAAGAAATCAATTATATTTTATCTGCTTAGCTGAATCATGACGTGGTTTAACCTGCAAATCTAGCCTAGATGATGTTCCTCTTGGCAGATCCTCCAGGAGGCCTTCATCTCAAGCCCTCCTGACAGAGCAGGCTGTTGGTTTTCTTCACCACCTCTGATCTTTGCAGGTGCACTTTCGCTCTGCAGACCCACTTATACTCTGCAACCCTTCCTAGACTGCTTGCCTGGTGGGCGAGCACAGTGCTTGATTCATCTTGACCTTGGTTCTAGCATATGACTTGTTCTTAACAGGGCATCAAGCAGCTGGGTGTGGTGGCACATGCCTGTCATCTCAGCACTTGGGAGGCCGAGGCAGGAGGATCAAAAGTTTAAAACCATGGCATGGCAAGACTCATAAAAAAATAAAAACAAAAGGCATCAAATGTTGGCTGAATTGCACCAAATTCTTAAAGAACTGAGGAGTGATGTTTTGGGTCACTGCTATCTTTCCCCCAAATCACATACACAAACTAACTGGCATTTAGAAAAATTACATGTTTTCTTCTCCCCTCCATTCCTTTTCAAGTATGACTGTTAATAAGTGTGGGAAAGGGCTGGGGATTTAGCTCAGTGGTGCCGCTGCCTGCCTCACAAGTGCAAGGTCCTGAGTTCAATCCCCAGTACCAAAAAAAAAAGTGTGGCAAAATTAATTTGCTAACTAGAATGGACTTGCAATGTCGTCGCCAATGAAGTCTATTTAAAGACTGTTTGGGGGGCTAGGGAAGCTCAATGGTACTGCGATTGTTTAGCAGGTGCAAGGCCTGGGCTGGCTCCCCAGCACTGAAAAGAAAACAGCAGCACCAAAAAGGCTTTCAAAGGAAAAAATCAAGGACTCAGAATAACCCTCTGGCACCCTTCAGGATCCTGGAATCGAGGGGTATACAGGAATACTATACAACAAGACAGGCCCTTGCCTTGGCTCCATGGGTTTTTTTTCCCCCACCCAAAATGTTTTGTTCCAGAAATGTAACAGTTTGTGCAACTGGGCAAGTGCTCCTGCTCAATGTATCAAAATGTTTTGTGACTGAACTGTGTGACCTTTCAGGAATGTTAAGCTCCGCCCCCTCACAGGAATGTTCTTTAACCCCACCCCACCCCCGCCTTTAGTGAGCATGCTCACCTACCCTGTAGATCCTTACATAAGGAGGCTCTCATTTCTGGTAGGGAGCTCAGACTATTCAGTATGAACTCTTTTGAGCTTGCTGGCTTACTAAAGTTTTTTCTCCACCTTTTCAAGTGACCATCGGATTCTCGAGTCTTCAGATTTTGATAGCCGTGACCCAGAGCTGTAACACTTAGCTGTAACACTCAGCTGTGCCTCAGAGATGTAACGCTGGGCAGTACCACTTGGCTATGGCACTGAGCTGCTCTACTTTGCCCAACAGTGGGACTCTACGATGGAGACACGAACCACTTGTCTTCACAGGACCTATCATCTTCTCTTCTGTCTCTCTCCCTTCCTTCCTTCATTTTGAAACAGTCTCACTACGTAGCCCAGACTGGCCTTGAACTTCCAGTGGTCCTCCTGCCTTAGGCTCCCAGTTCCTCTGTTCTTTTCGTCTTTCAGCGATTCTCTCTCCCCAGGTTAAGGAAGCCTTCCTGTGTGAAACCAGAAAACAGATACAACTATAATGGTTCCAGAAGGCTGAGGAACAACAGGACCAATCATTTCGGCCTCTCAGTGATTACAGTTATTGTGTTTAGGAAGAGGGTCCGCCCTTCCTGCCCTGGACGCCTCCTGCCTGCTGCACCATCACTGCCTTCCCTATTTCTGCAAGGCCAAGGGATCTCTTGAAATGGAATTTCCTTCCCCTTAGGAATAAAAAATAAACACTTGGAAGTCCACAGTGTGACCTGTTTTTCCACAACTCTTAGTCTGTCAGGATAACCTCAGTCCTGGTGGCTCAGAGACGGGAACTGGGTACCTATCTGGCCAGATGAGTAGAGGAGGTGTCTCACCATCTACTTAACTAGGAACTGACCAGCCGGATCAGTCTTTGGGCCCCATCTGCTCTGTAATACTCCCACCTGCAGATGAGAATCAGGATTGAGTGCCAGGAAGCCTTTACAGACTCTGACAACCTCCCTCTGTATGTAGACAAGGGAACTAAGGCTCATGGTCCTTTTTTGCAGTGGTTGCACCTGGTAGGTAAATGTAACCACTTACAATTTTTGTTTCTGGCCTAAATTGTTCAAAATGACCAGTTCAACCTAGAATACAAGCTTCTCAATTTTTTTTTTTTGAGACAAGGTCTTGCTATGTAGTCCTTGAACTCACTCTGATCCTCCTGCCTCAGCCTCCCATCTGCTGGGATCACCAGTGTGGGTCATCACGCCCGGCTACAAACTTCTCGATTTAAAGATCATTTTCTTTCTACTCTATCACATGGAGTTATGTGCTTCCCTTGGCTTCCCTTTAAAGTTATTATACCCATAAGCTTTATTTTTAATAGCTCTATTGCTATGTAACTCACATACCACACAATTCATGAATACAAAGTGTAACATATAGTAACTTTCAGTGTATTGACTGAGTCATGTATTTACTTCCATCAGTTTAGAACATTTTCATTAGCCCCCCAAACAACCCCAAACCCAGTAGCAACCACTTTGTTTTTGTTGTACTGAGGATTGAGCCCAGGGCCTCCCATTGAGCTGCCTTCCAGCCCTTTTCTATTATTTTGAGATAGGGTCTCCGTACATCACTTAACTTGTCCAGGCTGGGCTCAAATTTGTAATCCTCCTGCCTCAGACTACCAGATGCTGGGATTACAGGTGTGCAGCACCATGTCTGGGAAAAATCACTTCTGAAATAGGACAGGGACCTCATGCAGACAAAAGACAGGGATTTGTGGGCCTTAATCCATACCTGTTACCTATTAAAAGGGTCAAAGTTTTTCCTTTCTTGTACCGGGGATCGAAGTCAGGACCTTGCACTTGTGAAGCAGGTATTGTGCCACTGTTACCTATTAAAAGGGAAACCGTGTCTTTCCCCCATCCTTCCCTGGTAAGAGTATGGAATGTACCCCCCTTTATTCTCCTACTCTTACTGCAAGGACTAAGTGTGCTCTAACAGTTGGGTGGCTGCCATGGCTTCTCCAAAGGTGCAAACTGCTGCCACTAATACATATCCTGCCCAGGAAGGAAAGCCCCTACAACACAAGGAAGAAGTCTTGCAACAAAAAAATCCTACTTATGAGTCAATGGAAAATTACGACTCTAGCAGGCTCTGGTGGCACAGGCTTGTAATCCTAGTGCTCTGGAGGCTAAGGCAGGAGGATCTCCATGAGTTTTAGGCCAGCCTGGGCTACGCAGTGAGTTAAAGTCTGAATTACATAAGGGAGACTTTGTCTCAAATCACCCCCCCCCCCCAATTCTGGTGATCCTTTTAAAAGCTAGCCTCATTCTTCTGATTCTTTTTTTTTTTTTTTTGGTGCTGGGGATTGAACTTGGGACCTTGCCCTTGTGAGGCAGGCAGGGGCACTGAGCGAAATCCCCCGCCCCCAATTCTTCTGATGGGCCAGCCAGTCTGATCTGTCAGACCCGTTCCCCCTTCAGCATTTCTTGTCAGGCGAAGCCCCTTCCTGTTTTCTCTTTTGTCGCAAAGCTTTTGCCTATAATTTGTGCTGTTGCTTCAGTTTTAATTTCCATCATCACTAAAGCAAGTTCTCACATGCTTCCTGTATCATTTCCATTTCCCCTTGTGCCTCCTAAACCCAGGCAACCACCAATTCACTTAGCGTCTTGATAGATCTGGCTCTTCTGCACATTTCATGTCCAGGGTCCTTCAAGACTCTTTCACTGAGCATAGTATTTCCAAGGCTCATTCACATGGTAGCACGTACTTTTTCGGCTGAATAATTTCTTTGTATGCACATACCACATTCTGTTTATCCCTTCAGTGGTTCATGGATATTTAGCTTAATTTAATTATTATTACTATTTTTTGCAGTGCTGGGGACTGAACCCAGGGTCTCATGCACGCTAACCAAGTGCTCTACCACTGAGATATACCCCAGCCTGAGTTTTAAACTGTGACCTCTGATAGCTACCAGAGGCTTAAAGTCAAGACATAAATATATTTTTTACACTTTTCAATGTTGAATTATACCTAAACAAGCATACTTATTATGAAGACTTAATCTGGGCCAGGGATTTAGCTCGGTGGTTTCGTCGCCTGCTGCGCAAGCACAAGGACCCGAGTTTGATCCCTGGTACCAAAAAAAAAAAAAAAAAAAAGACTTAATTGTAACCTCATACTTGAAAATCAACTTTTGTTCCCTCTAAATTTCCTGATGTGTATGAAAATATTGTGCAAATACAAAGTAAAGCACTGCCTTAAGTTTTCTTGCTTTTGTGACTGCCAAGAAAGTAGGAGCCTGAGTGACAGCACTCAGAAAAAGAAGATATTCAGAGCCAGGATCCCCCTGGACCACTGGGACTTGAACCTAGGGCCTTGTGTGCTAGGTAAGCACCCTATCACTGAGCTATGTTCCCAGTCCTTTTTAATTTTTATTCTGAAGCAGAGTCTTACTACGTTGCTAAATTGCCCAGGCTGGGCTTGAACTTCCGATGCTCCTGCAAAAGCCTCCCAGAGTATGTGATTACAGACAGGCACGCGCATGTGCCATTACAAGGAAGATAAGAATTTTTCCATCTTTCAAATGTGTTTATGAAGACATTTGAGGCTCCCACCCAACCAGCTGGCTGGCATTCCTGTAACCCAGACACACAAAGCAGCGGTGATTCGAGGTGAGGGTGACACAGGTGCAGTCCTTTCCACTCTCTGACTTATTTTCATCCTAGTCTTTCTGAGTTTATAGGCTGGCTCTCGCCCGACCTCCATACTCCTTTTGTTGGTTTCCACGTGGGCCAAGGGTGGGAAACTCTGGGGGACTGGTTCAACCCACAAACCCACCTGGACTGGGAACTGAACCCAGAGAGCGCTGAAGTACATCCCTAGCCCCTTTTATTTTGAGACAGGGTCTTGCTAAATTGCCCAGGCTGGGTTCAAACCTGCCTTTATTCTGGCTCAGGCTTGGGGTAGCTGGAATTATAGGAGTATGTCTTCACCCTGGCCCAGTTCCCGCTTTTGTTTTTGAAACAGGGTCTGGCTAGCTATGGAGCCCAAGCTTCATACTCCAACTCCTGGAGATAACCCGCCTCTGCCTCCCAAGTGCTGGAATGACAGGTGTGCCACTTCTGGCTCCCAGTTCATGCTTGAAAAGACAGAACCTGAACTTGTAAACACCCAGTTGAGCGTATTTATGATCCCAAGGGTGACCAATTCACTAGCTCCTTGTTTATTTAAAATCCTGCCTTCTAAGATGAGTCGGGGCCAGCTAACTCCTGAGTCACCTGTGGCAGAGCAAAGGGGCTTCTGGGAGTGTCCTCAGCCCCATTTTCGGATTCTACAGGAGAGCTCTGGGAAGTGATCCTTGACTCAGCTCATCTTGGGCTTGGGTGTTGTGTCATTCCACACACGTGACGCTCTGCCTGGCAGCGGCGACCTCACAAATCATGGGATTTATTCACCCGACTGACTCCACCCCCTTCCTCTACTATTCAACCTCCTACTTACCCGCTCCACCTTCCTCAAGATCAAGGGAGAGGGTGGTGGCTGGAGACTGGGAATTCCTCTCCCAAGCTGGCCGGGAGCAGGAAAAACTCAGCGTTTGAGGAAATTCAAGATATGGCGTTACAGATCTTCCCTTCTCCAGAATGCTTTGCACTTCCGGCTTTAGGCAATCCTTAGTCCTCCTAACCCAGAATGGTACCATTCTACTTGAGACCACCTTTCACTCGGGCAGACCCTCTCCCCGTTATGGGTGTTTCCCCTCCCTTGCTGTTTTCCATCTTTCTGTAAGGCCCGAATCAGTCTTTTTCCAGTGCTAACTGCGTGACCTTCAGTCAACCACAACTTTTCTGGGCCTGGTTTCTTTGTCCGAGAATCAAGGGCCTACTACACCACGCCTACTGTGACGATTAAACAAGAAAGAGCTTTGCGAGCTGTAAAAAAAAAAAAAAAAAAATTAAGATTGGCTACGTTAGTCCTGGACAGCTAGTCCCTCTTCCAGAACCACTCCCTCTCCTTCCGGGATCGTCCACCAAACCTAGCGTCGGGGTGACACTTCTCTCCACCCTCAGCGCGAAGCTTTTCCCCTTTGCGTCGCGCGAGTCGCGCGGCGCCGGATGTCGACGTCACAGCCTCCCCCCGCCGGCGCTGGCTGGCGCATAGCCTCGCCCCCGGCCGCGCCCGGCCTGCCGCGGGGCCCCGCCCCCCGGGCCTAGGCGGTGCTCGCCCCGCCCCGCGGGTGACGCGTAGCGCGCGCGGCCCGGCCGCCCCGGCAGTTGGTGCAGCGGCGCTTGGGGTGAGTGCGCTCACCCCACCCCTCCCCTCCTTCAGTCCCGGCCCCCGCCCCGCCGGGCCCAGCCCCAGCCCCAGCCCCAGTCCCAGTCTCCGCCGCGGCCCCGGCCGGTCCCGAGCGGCCCGTGCCACCCCTCCGCCGGCGACGCCCCGGGCCGCCCGCCACCATGGAGCTGGAGGATGGTGTGGTGTACCAGGAGGAGCCCGGCGGCTCCGGGGCCGTGATGTCAGAGCGGGTGTCCGGCCTGGCCGGCTCCATCTACCGCGAGTTCGAGCGGCTCATTGGGCGCTACGACGAGGAGGTGGTCAAGGAACTGATGCCACTCGTGGTGGCTGTGCTGGAGAACCTGGACTCGGTGTTCGCGCAGGACCAGGAGCACCAGGTGGAGCTTGAGCTGCTGCGGGACGACAACGAGCAGCTCATCACCCAGTACGAACGGGAGAAGGCGCTGCGCAAGCACGCCGAGGAGGTGAGGCCGGCGGCGACGCGGGGTCGCGGCCCGGTCGGGCCTCGGGGAGCGCGGGCCCAGGCTGGGTTACCCCCACCCGGCCTGAGCCCAGAGACACGGGGAGCCCGGCCTGGAGCAAGGGCGAGGTGGGAGGCGAGGCCCGGGCAGGAGGCGACAGCCTGGCAGGAGGGCACCTGGGGCCTGCCGAGGGCGGGGACTCGGGGTGTCTGGTTGCTCCTTGTTGTTGAGGGAAGTTTCCGACCGCGGGAGGATAGGCGGGCGGCTGCTCAAACTTTTACCGCTGGGGAGGGGGCACTTGGTCCTGGACGTAGAACTTCTGCCGGTCCCAGTACTGTACCTTCGCAGGGGGTTGCTGCCGCTTTGGGAAGTTAGACATCTCCCTCTTTCGGTCAGTTTCTTCTTGACGTTGGCATCCCGTCGAGGAGGTCTTAAATGTCCTGTGTGCCTTGCTTAGCTCTTCAACGCTCAGCGGGTGTACATCGAGGCTCCGTAGACAGACTGGGCATGCTGTTATTTTATTGGCACCCCACACCGAGGCATAACTCCAAGTCAGGTGGTAACCTTGGACAGTTCCCTTCCCAAACCCTCGGTTTGGCAAGAGGACTGGGGGCGGGGTTGAGGAGGTGTGGGTGACAGTCTCCACATTTCTCCCGTCCCAGTCTGCGTCTCAGAGTGCAGCTCGGAGGTGCACTGGGCCGGCTGTTTACTCCAACACCCGAGCAGTGACCTCGGCGCTCTCACCTGCAATCTGTGAACCTTTCAGAGCCCCGAGGTGTAAGTGATAGGTCCTTGGTTTCTCCAGAGAGTCCGAGACTTTAGTTTTCAGGCTGAGATGGCATTGATGGTGTACAACTGATCTAAGGCAGGCGAAGAAGTGTCCCGTTTGTCTTTGATTCCTGGGGTCTAGCACACCTGGCTAGGTTTGAAGGAGGCTGAATACTTTCGAAGCAATCGCGTTTTAGTTTTCAAAAAATACTTAAAAAGTTTTCAGGATGCGAGCTCTCTTTAGCAGCTCATTTCCTAACATTAAATGATAACACCATTTAAACTTCTTGTTTTGTCACATGTAGTATTCCTTTGCACCCAGTTAAAGTGTTCTTTTTAAGCTTGATTATAGAAACGATTTTTAGTTCTGACTTTGGGATCCAGTGGTATCAAAGGAATGCCCTTGAATTTGCCAAACAAAATTGACTATTTCAAGAATATTTCCAAATATATAGGGCCGGAAGGGTCGAAAAAACAAATGAAGCCTGGAACACAATTTCCATTAGTTTATTAGCGCTGTTTATAGAACAGGGCGAGAGCTATTTCTGAGATGGCTGCTTGTTCTCCCGGGTACAGGCCCTTGTGTGGATGGACACGGGAGAGAGCAGACCCAGTGGAGACTGTCGCCTCTGGCAAAAGAAAGCCTCCCTCCACCTTTAAACTCCTGTCAGCCGTGTAAACATGGGCAGAATGCCAGGGTCACACGTGCCAAAGAAACCATCTGCCACAGGTTGCAGAATCAGAAAGCAAAACTAACTGCTGGACTCTGAGTTTTGTATACTTTCTTTTTTTTCAAAATTAATTTCTTAGGGCCGGGGATTTAGCTCAGTGGCACTGCGCCTGTCTTGCAAGTTCAGGATCCTGAGTTTGATTCCTGGTAGTGGAAAAAAATTAAAAAGTAAATGCTTTTGGGGTCGAGATTTAGCCCAGTGGTTCTGTCCTCAAAAGGGCAAGGTTTGATCCCTGGTACCTAAATAAATAAATAAATAAATAAATGCTTTTTTAAAAAAGCAGATTATCCAGTGACTTTCTTTGTAGTTGTTGATTTTTCAGCCACATCTGTGAAACCTTTGGGCGGGGGTCATGACATGAGAATTGGGAACATTGATGAGATGCTAGAGGAACTAACTCTCAGATCCCAACCATAAAACCGCTTCATTCTCAGTCTTCATGCGAGATCATGAACCAAGTTTAGCCTGCACCCAGCAATTCAGTCTTTTAATCCAATATGCAGAGTGAGTTCTGTTTAATTTTCTGTGTTTTGTGCCTTTAACATAGAGACTGGAAGTCTGCTATTATAGCCAAAATGCCTCAGGGTGCTTATAGCAGAAGTAATTGAAGGCATGGGAATCACAAGTACAGAGTAAACTGAGCACCTTTGTGGAAATCCAGGGGGTATATAAATGGTGAGGATGTCACAGAAGTCTGTTAGGCACTATAATCTCTTGTGCACAGGAACTGTCAGTAAGGAGTCAGAAGTATAATCTTTATTATAATGATAGGACTTAATTTGAATACACTGTTTTTCTTTTATTTTGAGTTTTCATATGGAGTTAGTGTGCTGGTTTTCTTTCTTTTTCTTTTTTTTTTGTTACCAGCAATCAAACTCAGGACCTCCCCAGGTGAGTGCTGTGGCGCTGAGCTACATCCGTGGCCCTAGTGTGCTGTTTTGGTGATACTTAAAAATATTCTTGGAGGGGCCGGGGATTTAGCTCAGTGGCACCGCACCTGCCTCACAAGCGGAAGGTCCTGAGTTTGATTCCCACTACCAAAAAAAAAAAATTCTTGGGGCTGGGCATGGTGCCACATACCTGTAATCCTAGCACTCAGGAGGCTGTGGCAGGAGGATTCCCTGAATTCAAGGCCAGTTTGAACTTCATAGCAAGACCTTGTTTTTATTTTTTAAATTTTATTTTCTTTTTTTTCTGAAGCAAGGTCTCACTGTAGTTCAGGCTGGCCTTGAACTTACGACAATCCTCTGGCCTCAGCCTCCTGAGCGCTGGGACTACAGGCATGTGCTACCATGCCAGGCCAAGATTTTTTTTTTTAAAAAAAGGTCTTTCTGGGCATGGTAGCGCACGCCTGTAGTACTGTGGTCAGGAGGCTGAGGCCAGAGGATTGCTTCGAGTTTGAGGCCAGCCTGAACTACATAGTGGGCATGTAGCTCAGTGGTAAAGTGCTAGTCTGGCCTTTGAGAAAGAAGCTCTGGGTTTCATCCTCAGTACCTAAAACAAAACAGTGGCAAACCACCTAAAGGAAGGCTGATTTTTAGACAGATTTGGACGGTTTCAAATGCTGATCAAGAAGCTCGTCAAAAAAAAAAAAAAATGGTCATCTCTCCACCGCTCCCCTCTCAGGGCTCCCTGCCACCTGCCTTTGCCTGGGCTGTTCCCTCACTCCAGATTTTTTTTCCTCAGGTTCACCTGGCCAGCCCTATCTTCACTTTCTGCTCAGTTCAAACTGCTCTTTTTCAGCAAGGCCTTTGGTTTCTTCTATATACAGTAAGCCCTGTGAATCTACTGAGTAATTTGTTTTCAAATTCGTGATTTTTTAAAAAAATAAAAATTTGTATACAAAAGGATCTGAAGAAGGCAGGTATGGTAATGTACATCTGTGATCCCAGGAGATGGAGGCAGGAGGATTCCAACTTTGAAGTTAGCCTCAGCAACTTAGCAAGACTCTGTCTCAAAATAAAAATTTTACAAAGGGGGCCGGGGATTTACTTCAGTGGTTCCCCCGCCTGCCTCAAAAGTGCAAGGTCCTGAGTTTGTTACCACAACTTTTTAATTTTATTTTATTTTTGGGGGGGTACCAGGGATTGAACTCGGGTCCTTGTGGTTGCACAGTAGGCGGTGAAACCACTGAGCTAAATCCCCGGCCCCTGAGGTCCCATGTTTGATCCCCAGTACCAAAAAATTTTTTCTTTTACAAAGGGCTCTAGGGCTGGGCATAGTGGCACACGTATGTAAACTCAAGATTTGGGAGGCTGAGGCAGGAGGATTGCTGTGAGTTTGAGGTCAGCCTGCACTACACAGTGAGATCTTATCTCAAAAAACCATAAATAAATAAAGAAACACAAAGCGCTCTGGTGATGCAGCTTACTGACATAGCGCTTGTCTAGCATGTTCAAGAGCCTGGTTCAATTCCCAGTGTCCCCCAAAATAAAAATGATCTAGAGAGAGGTGCTATTCTTTTTTTTTTTTTTTTTGGTACTGGGGATCGAACTCAGGACCTTTTGCTTGCAAGGCAGGCGCTGGGACAACTGAGCTAAATCTCTGGCCCAGAGAGGTGCTATTCTTGTCTTTTTCTTTTTTTTGGTACCAGGGATGGAACTTGGGTCCTTGTGCTTGCACAGCAGGTGGTGAAACCACTGAGCTAAATCCCCGGCCCCAACCCGCTATTCTTGAGTATGTTAGTTTTTCTTAATTTTTTTTGTGCTAGTTCTGATTCTTTTAAAATAGGCATGATTTGCTTTAATTAAAAAAAAAAAGAGAATTACTGCCTCACAAGTGCAAGGTCCTGAGTTTGATTCCTGGTATCAAAAAAAAAAACAACAAGGAATTGATCCCCTAGCATTGAAAAAAAAAAAAAAACGAAAGAAAAGAAGCTGTGAAAAGTTGGGCCCCTGAGTTTAAGAACCTTTCCTGTAGGAATTTAGCTGCAGGAGATCCTGGGGGTCCTTGCAGGTGTGCAGTTCTTTTCTGTGACTTGCTTTAAAAATACAGAGGTGAGAGAAACTACTGAGAATTTTCCAATTCATTTTTCTCTTAACGATCAACACTTAAATCAGTAACAATTGTTTTATATGAAGCCATTAATGCACTTGTTTTTGGAAGTGTCCGATTAGGAGTTTATTTTGTAGGTTAGCACAATTACCTGTTACTTAAATTAGGAATGGTGACTGTTCTTCAGATGTTGAGCCATGATTCTGTCAGCCCAGGCCCCAAGGAATGAGACTTTGCTGTTCTGCAGACTAGGTGTCGCCCAAGTGGAGCAGCGTGAAGGGTGGTTCAGGGCCTGGCATGGGTGACCTGGCGTCGCCAAAGAATGCGTTGCTGCTCCCAGGTATGTTGACATTTGGCATCTTGTGAGTGTTTTGCTTTTTGTTGAGACAGGATCTTGCTGTGTCTATAGTCCAGGCTGGTATTGGACTCTAGCTCCAGCTGGTTTCAAACTGGCGATATCCTCCTCCCTCAGCCTCCTGAGCGCTGGCGTTGTAGGTGTGCAGCATCTTG